GTACTGTGTGTAGATTGATGAGGGAAAAAAATAATGTAATACATTTTAGAATAAGGCTATAACGTAACAAAATGTGAAAAAGTCAAGGGGTCTGAATACTTTTCAAATGCACTGTATGTGCAAACAAAACAGTGCTAACATACAGTGAAAAACTACCACACATTAGGATGATTGTAAGAAACACACTGGTAAGATAATATTTCCAAAACACAGATTTCCTTGCCTTTAGCAGTGCCTTACTGGGGTACTTTGAGACATATCCTTCAGAACACAGCTGTATTCATTCATATTTTATACCTACTCCTTCTCCCAGTGTTTTAATGCTGTTCTGTGATCAACGGACAGAACTCGGTTATCAACAGAAAGGTTCCCTGCCAGCATAGGAGGATAAAGGAGCCTAGTAAGGCTATAACGTAACAAAATGTGAAAAAGTCAAGGGGTCTGAATACTTTTCGAATGCACTGTATGTGCAAACAAAACTGTGCTAACATACAGTGAAAAACTACCACACATTAGGATGATTGTAAGAAACACACTGGTAAGATAATATTTCCAAAACACAGATTTCCTTGCCTTTAGCAGTGCCTTACTGGGGTACTTTGAGACATATCCATCAGAACACAGCTGTATTCATTCATATTTTATACCTACTCCTTCTCCCAGTGCTTTAACGCTGTTCTGTGATCAAAGGACAGAACTTGGTTATCAACAGGAAGGTTCCCTGCCAGCATAGGAGGATAAAAGAGTCTAGTGTAATAACTGCCGTATACAGTAGCAAATTCCTCTTGTAGCAAACCTGTTGTTACAGTAACTAAGAAATTACAATGTGTATTTACAGTATGTATTTTATGTACTTTTGTTCAGCCTTGCAAATCATTTTGTGAAAACAGCAGCATGTGCCGCTCAAATGGATTGTAAGCGGAGTGCAACCCTACTTCAGCAATTAAAATACACTACATTGCCAAAAGTATGTGGACAACTGCTCGTTGAACATCTCATTCCAAAATCATGGGCATTAATATGGAGATGGTCCCCCACTTTGCTGCTATAACAGCCTCCACTCATCTGGGAAGGCTTTCCACTAGATGTTGGAACATTACTGCGGGGACTTGCTTCCATTCAGCCACAAGAACATTAGTGAGGTCGGGCACTGATGTTGGGCGATTAGGCCTGACTCGTAGCCGGCGTTCCTATTCATCCTAAAGGTGTTCGATGGGGTTGAGGTCAGGGCTATGTGCAGGCCAGTCAAGTTCATCTACACCGACCTCGCTTTGTGCACGGGGCATTGTCATGCTGAAACAGGAAAGGGCCTTCCCCAAACTGTTGCCTCAAAGTTGGAAGCACAGAATCGTGAAACCATGAAAAACAGCCCCAGACCATTATTCCTCCTCCAACAAACTTTACAGTTGGCACTATGCATTGGGGCAGGTAGCGTTCTCCTGGCATCCATCAAACCCAGAATCGTCCATCAGACTGCCAGATGGTGTAGCGTGATTCATCACTCCAGAGAACACATTTCCACTGCTCCAGAGTCTAATGGTGGCGAGCTTTACACCACTCCAGCTGACGCTTGGCATTGCGCATGGTGATCTTAGGCTTGTGTGGGACTACTTGGCCATGGAAACCCATTTCATGAAGTTCCCGACGAACAGTTCTTGTGCTGATGTTGCTTCCAGAGGCAGTTTGGAACTCGGTAGTGAGTGTTGCAACTGAGGACCGCTCTAGGAGGGCAGACATTTTACGAACTGACTTGTTGGAAAGGTGGTATCCTATGATGGTGCCACGTTGAAAGTCACTAAGCTCTTCTGTAAGACCATTCTACTGCCAATGTTTGGCTTTGTGCTCGATTTTATACACCTGTCAGCAACAGGCGTGGCTGAAATAGCCGAATCCACTAATTTGAAGTGTGTCCACATACTTATGTATATATAGTGTTTATTCTTCATGTTTTCACCAACATATGCAACATGCATGTTGCAATCGGTTGAAGTGACAGCCGTTTTATTGAATTCTTTGTTTGATTGAGGAATGTTCAACTTGTATGATTGGGGTGCTGGATGAGGTATGGACCAGATTCATAATCGGACAGCTCAAGAGTGTCACCATGTGGGGACATGTGGATATGACAAAACATTAACATGAATATGTGGCATATTATGAAACCATCATCAACCATTGAGCAATTTTTGTTTTGGCATAATAACTACATTACATTGCAATGGTGCTTCGTTGTTCACAGTCCAAAGTATAACAATAACAATCATGATTGTCATTTTCTCAGCACCTTTGTCATAGTTGAAATGCCAAATAATATAGACTGTCTCATCAAATAGGCTAATGATTTCACAAAGTCCTCAGACCACCAAATAACCTTGTCATCCCAAGTTCCTTGATGGATATCCTGACTATGAGATGCTAAAATCCCTTTAAGTACCCTCTGAAGTATCGAAGACCTCCCTGGCATTTAAACTCTTTCTGAAGACTGACTTTGCTTCTCTCTATAGCCTGCGGGAACATAGTATCCTCCACCCACATGAAACTTCAATTGATATTCCGTCTCACAGTTACCTCATGGGGAATTCACCAAGCTGTTAATAATAAGAGACATAATAATAAGGCGTACAACTTTATCATACACTCAATCTTAACTGGTCTAAATGATGAATGTATGAAAATATAATTATTTATTTATCTTCAGTGCAAGTATATTGAGACAATATGTCATACTGTAGATAATCATCTAAACTGATATGGAAATTATGGATGTTTGTTGGATGTACTTGATTGACAGATACATTTCAATGAAATGCTTTATCCTTGGATGGATGGGTTTTGAGACTCTTTTTTCCTGAAGCTATTATCAAAATAAGTATTGTTTTGAAGATGAATAAATGGCACAAAGAATCAAAATGTATTGCCCTTCATAATAGTATTCCCTCCGATTGAAGACAAGTAACAATGGACCATTCTACCTTCCTGTCCTTTCCCTCTCAATGTGCCAATGGATGTGACCTCTAAAGCTAGAACAATGTCTAACCAACAAGCACTTGGCTTTCCGCCAACACCACTAAAGCCCAATAAGGTTGCTTTCATCTCTGTTGTTATATTTAAAGATGACATCCTAGCCTGCCGGCCTCTACCATTGTCTCCACCATGATTATTTGCCAATGTTGTTTAACTCCAGTTGCAAGTCTTTGATGTAAAGGTCACCACTCAATTGGAAAACAGTCATTAGAATGCGGTGGGTACTATTCACCAGTGTGCATAGGGGAGCAAACTCTGCCGAGCTGGTTAATCAAAAGTTAATTATATAATTTTCATGCAGATGAGGGCAACATTGAAATGAATCCCAACACTCCAATCATTACCACAAATAAATTAATTAATACATTCAAAATTCTATAAAATGTTCAGGGACTAAGAGGTTGTAAACAATATAAAGTTTAATTTGAGGTAAACAAAGTGAATATCCACCAGGGGGTCTGGGAAGGCGAAAGTGAGGTTAAATCAAAATTGGAAACATAGATACCAGCTGAAAATACAAATGCATTAAAAGATGTGCAATTAAACTGGAAAATAAAGTTATATTTTCAAACAAAAGATTGCAAGGGGGATTTAAAATGATGATGTTACAACTGGAACAACATACAATGAATGTGTGGGTAGACCTAAACATATTTTAACCCCATACATACCATTAATCTGCCTCTTGAACCAATTCTGTGTTACTTGAATGAAAAAGTATGAAACACTGCATTGATTAAATACAAAAATATATCAGCTAGAGAAACATAACCCTAGAATCACACAAGCAAAAGAGGCATAACTTCCATACAACTGTCAAAATCATAGATATGTTTAGTTGCAATAGTTCTCCAGCAACAAAAATTTGTAAAGTAAAATAAAATCCTTAAGTCTTTCCCCATTAATGAAAAGTATTGCACTATGCAAATTGAACCATGAATATTAATCTAACGATGTGAGGTATCACAAATTAAGAACCATTGTTCTGAAAGTGCAATGGAAAGTGGTTTAATTTCTATCTAATTCTATGTGCTTTTACTGTTCACCTTTTCCCAAAAGTACCAGTGGGTTGGGTTCATTGGTGTGCATCACAACCACGTGCTAACTGTGCAGGGTGTCCCTCGTGTCAGTACAGTTCATGAATCATGGGCCCCTAATGCACTACGCGATTAGTACGGTACCCTGTCTGTGGGGCTTTGCCAGAAAATTAGTTCTCTTTAAAACATATGCCCCTGCTAATTCCTTTCCTAGCCTGATATGCAATTCCAATTTTTATAATTAACAGCAATTTATTGAACGACATGAAAGTTAACACATTTTCTTTTTGTGATGCCTATGATCCTGGCAAAACTAGGAGAAAAATGTCAACCCTCATGACACTTCAGAGTTATTTTTAACTATGCAAAATTCAATTATTCAACAAGTGACATACTCTCACATAAATTTGAGGTGAAACAAATATCCTGGTATTGTGGATTTTCTCATTGAAATTATGCATGACTGACAAGCAATAACTATAATCTAATTACAAAAGGGACATAAACCACTGTTTCAAATCTAAGGACACCATAGATATTTTATAAATTGACTTAATCACCAGCTGTTGTCATGCTAAGATTGTTGTATCACAAGTTGATCATGCTTGTCGGTCATAGAAAACAAATGGTATGGTAATAATCCATTTATGGTCTGCCAACTCCACCTCAATAAAATTGGATAGGACACTAAAGCTCCTGTATTGTAAGGACGTTCAACAGACATACAAAGAGACTTATCTTTCAATCACTCTTTATTACAATTTGACAGGAGGTTAAAGTTTCATACTTCAAGTAAATAACATAAATCTAAATGTGATGTTAGTTGTAAATGGACAGAACTGTAGTTGAATGCTCCATCATTGATGTTGATAGTGATGCTGAATGTCTGCTTGATGTTGTCTTCTTGCTTCTTTTGTGAATAATGGTCTCAGTTCTTTATTTATGGGGCATCCATTTCTTCGATATCTAGGGAAATCAAAGTGTTAACTTCAGAAGTCTACTTTATGTTGCATAGGCCTGTATCTATATTGTACTGATGTGTCAGACATGAGCAACATTGTCTCCATACATTTATAAGTATCACTTCTCTAAATTCAGGGAAGCTTTCCATTTGTCAGACAATACTCTCATCTTAAAATGTATTTCAGATACTTTGGTATATCGTTTACAACATATTTTACAAGGAGACATCAATTCAGTATCTTCAGACGAAACATAAATAATTGACCATTAGGAATACAATTAATACAATATCTAACCTAATAAATTAATATGAATACTTACTACATCATATGGTCTCAGTCTTTCTGAGACATGGGCGCTTGTCTCCTCGGGAAGAGCCACTTCACCTCCTGTGTCCATCATCTTGATGGCAATATGTAAGAGGAATTTGTAATGCTATTACCCATATACCCCTTATGCAACACCCTTACAGAGCTTAATTAGTAAATGTTACATTTAAATGTTCACAGGTTTTCAAGACACAGTAGATTTACTTAAAGGACAATTACATGTACAGTATGTACATGTAGACATAGTTACTTACAGTAGTTACAGGTAGAGGTAAATAGTACTTGCCCTGATGGTGGCCTCCAGCTCCCCAACACTTCTCTTCCCTCCAGGTAGCCACCCATACGACCAATGCTGAGAGAGAGTGACCTGAGCTACCAATACCAGCACCACCACCTGCACGACCGTTCTGCTGCTAAGATCCATTGGAGCTGGAAAGAAAGCTAGTCAAATACAAGCTACATTTTGTATTTTTACAACAAAGATGATTACCTATTGAATATGCACATAGTACAGTGTATATGAACTACCCACAAATGCACATTAGTTAACTATTTTAAATATGAATCACATACTGTCTCCGTTCTGTATATTCCTTCCTACAGTGTGGTGGGAATAATCATGGGTCCCTTTTATAGGGGTCGTTAAGACATGGAACAGTCTGAGTCATCATGATTATAATCCCTTCTCCACAGGTGTGACACACTAAGTGCCTAATGGACACTAAATGTCACCAACGGGACCTGCTTAGTGCATAAGCTTCAAACTGCATTCGATGGAAACAAACATATTTGTAATGTGTTAAGAGGTGAAGTAAGTGTACATATTCTAAAATATGTTGTAAATGAAACAATTTCTGCAGGTCAACAAAAAAGTGACTTTGATACCCATGTTTTGTATCTTTTACAAATATTCAGAAATGAATGGCAAATTAGTTTATTTTCAATGCATTTATTGCGACCAGCATTTACAAATAAAATGTCAACTTCATACAGACTTATGACAAGAGATATACAGGAGCAAGATGCTTGAGCACTACATTAGGCCTCAATTTCATACTCTGTACATAAGACTGATTTTAAATGTTCTGTATGAAGACCCTTATATGATTACATAATCCTTACACTTGTATAATCCTTACATAATCCTTACACATAATCATTACACCTAACAGGCTATGAATCCATAAATGTACCTTTGGCATGAAAAGGATAGCCCTGTAGAGTATCTTAACACTTAATAACTGGGTAACCAGGTAATTTGAATTTAAATTCTATTAATTTGTATTTATGATCATTGCTAAAATATAGATTTCACAGTAAACTACAGTACATTGAAATTCAAGAATCAATAACTTTCATGAATCAATTGCTATTATCAATAACCCAGTTATTTAGTGATATGAGAGCACTGTGGCTATAAAGTCCTTACCAAGCGGAAATTGCTGCCCGTCTCTAAATTACACTTTTCTAGTTGAGAACTCTATATATTCAATATACATTTTTTGGGTGGGGTATATTGGTATTATAATCCTTTGCCTTAATCCCGATCATGTTTATGTTTTATACACTATACGGACATAATGAAAATCAACATATTTTATTGAAATCTTCTCCCTTAGTCTTGAGGTTAGTCTTGAAAAACATAAAACAATCTGCTGCCTTAGCTATGTATGTTTGAAGTTGAAGTCACTTGGTGACAATTTTAACTTGATCTTTGTATGGCACTGCTTCATTCAAACATGCAAATTCTGAAATGGTAGGTCCTATACAGTTTAAAAAAAGTTGTAAAAAAGTTATTACAACCGTATACATATGAACAGCCATTTGTTAGTGAGGTTAGATGGAAATTGCTGTTTGAAAAAGACGGCAATTCAAAGTTGTCCAAATTGATTATTTTCCATTGGATACTCAATATTCTGTTAATATGAGGAAACAGACAACATACACAGCAAATACTGAATGTTAATTTGTTAGGTCACTTTCACTTGTAAGGTCAGTTATACAATGACAAACTCATGACAGGTTGTGTATTTTTACAACAGCAGGTTTTTTTTTGTAAAATCTGTGGAGTTCTACAGTATGTGCCATGGCTACAGTTCAGACTACAGGCAACGAAAGGCAATCTCATGGTCATTATTTCAACATAGACTATCAATAAAACTCAAAATGTACATTAAATTCTACATTATATAAATATAAAAAGATTATATGCATAACTTCATTAATACATACAGTATATACATAATGTTAACATAATAACATACTTTTCAGTATTGTCTTGAGTCCGAGGACCTATTCAATTAAACCCTTCACACCGGTTTTGGTCTTAGGTTTTCAATTCAAAACATTTGACATACAAATGCTGAGGAGACAAAGCCAGTTGAAACGTCCGTGACTAAATAGAGATAATAATCAATTTTCAGTTGGGCTCTTTTTAACAAACATATACAGGTAACTGCCAAAATAGAGGAAACACCAACATTAAGTGTCTTTAATAGGGCATCGGGCCACCACGAGCCAGAAACAGCTTTAATGGACCTTGGCATAGATTCTACAAGTGTCTGGAACGACACCATCATTTTGTGTTTTGTTGATGGTTGTGGAAAACACTGTCTCAGGTGCCGCTCCAGAATCTCCCATAAGTTCAATTGGGTTGGGATCTGGTGACTGAGACGGCCATGGCATATGGTTTACATTGTTTTTATGCTCATCAAACCATTCAGTGACCACTCATGCCCTGTGGATGGGGGCATTGTCATCATATCGGGGCATAGCCATGGTAGCCAAAATAATGGATGAAAATAATGGCCTGCCCAGCATTTATATACATGACCCTAAACATGATGGGATGTTAATTGCTTAATTAACCCAGGAACAACACCTGTGTGGAAGCACCTGCTTTCAATATACTTTGTATCCCTCATTTCATTATTTTGGCAATTACCTGTATAATAAAATATGGTACAACATGTTTAAGTACTGTGGGTAAGTGCAATGTGTAAAAAGAGCTTACAAAAGAAGGTTCTGACAAAATTGCATATGTTACTTGGAAATATACATGGGTATATAGCAGATATTGTCATTTGAAATTGGCATAGTCTGAGAAAATGTCAACAAAATCTTGAACCACTCTGTAGCAGAAGTCATATTGTTCCTGAAATGACAAACATAACACACAACATGACCATAAATCACTTAAAATACAGTTGGCAAATCAATATTTTAACAAAGCATCATCGTCAATCTTTTGAAGATAATCTGAATGTATTTCACCTCTATCTCTTTTCAATAATGTAGGCTACCATCATCCATTAAATCTCTATGATGAAATGGTATCCTACCATGATAAACAATGTGTTAATACTACAATATGTAATACCTACCACAGTCTGAACCATGTGTGGTCTCTTCATGCGTAAGCTCTTGACTGTCTGAAACACATCCAGTAGGCCCTCTGCTTTCACCCGCTCCAGAATGTTACTCAGGGCGATGAATGTCCCGGTCCGACCCGCACCAGCACTGAGAAATAAACCCAGGACAGAACCATCAGCATCTACAGCCACAGATAAGTTTGCTCTAAAGCCCAGTAACTACCATTAGAGGGCCTTGAATATGTGCTTAGAACTGAACGTGAGTCAAGGGAGTATACTACATGACGTACACTGTCAGGGGTCTACCAGTTCGCCGTCATGCCGATGTCTTTTAAAGTGCTGGATTTCCTTAGTGCTCAACAACACAGGTAAGTTGTCTTGTTAGTGGTTGATAGGAGAGATCTCTAACAGTAGAGGTCATGGATCTACAGCTTCCTAGACTCCCATTTCTCTAGCCATAGGGCTATACTGCGAATCCTACAGCTTACCCCAGGCTTTCCCATTTGTATTGAAAACAATTAGCTGAAGAAAAGGTGACCTTTGACTAATAGTACTAATAACGCTAACGCGTCTGGTAGCGCTCTCACTCTCTTTGGATTGAGTCAGTGATTGAGTCAGTGCTTACAATGCCGGTGAGAGAGAGAGAGGAGAGTGGGGGGTTGTAATGGGCAAGCCCCCATTCCCAGCAGAGGAGAAAAAGCTTTAAAAAGGCCCTATTTAGACAGGCCCTGATAAAGGAATATAAGAGAGTGAAGACACCATTTCCTGTCGTTAGTTCATTCTATCAGATTAATCAAAGCAGGAGTCGTAGGAGATTTCACTTTGAGAGGTTTTAATTGACTGTGAATCAGTGGATTGGATCAATCCCAGCGGGCCGTGCTGCATTAGAAGTACTTCACCTAGAGCTACGTACGTTCTGATCAGAGCATTCACAGCAAAGTCTTTACAAAGAGTTGGGCTGTAGAACATAGTCTACAAAGGCTAAATGTATAGTGTATTGAAACCGATATTTCAGAGTGCCAAAAATATCAAAAGTAATCTATATTCTTTGAAATATAATTTTGTGTTTGGTATGATCCTAATATTTTATGTCAGAAAAAAAGGTCAGTTGAACGAGTAATGGGAGTGTTTTTTGGCTCCCAGATTGGGTTTGTGTATACAGTACCTGTTCCTTACCTGCAGTGTACTATGATAGGGTGGTTTCCAGACTGGTGTTGCTGTCTCTGCACTGAAGCAATGATGTCGATCATTCCCTTTCCCTCTGCCGGTATTCCGATCTCAGGCCAGCCGTGGAAATGAAAGTGCCTGACGTGCCGTGACTGCTTTTCCTGGTGATGGGAAACATATGTGTTTCATCATTACATACATTAGCATACCTGATAATGAAAAATAAACATAACATAATCTTGACATAGTTCACTTCAAGATAAGACACAAATTGAGATAACAGAATGCCATTGATTACAGGACCAAATCCAGTCATCCACAAGGACAAAAATGACTTACATCACAAAGAATATATATAAAATATATATCAGGTAGGTCATGTAAATGCTTGTTTAGGAAACTCACTGGTCCATATGTGAGCACCATGTCCTTTAGAGTGAAAGTGTCACATAGGGCATCCCCCTTCAGCTCCAAAGTGTAGTCTCCAAATGTCACAGTGCCCTCTGCTGGCCAGTACTGGAAACACTTGTCCTAGGGAAAGTGACAGATTGATGTAAGGCAAGTGTATCAAACATACGGCCCACGGGTGGGAAAAACGACCTCAATATACATTGAAATGACTAATAACACATCGAAACTGTGTAGATAATGGTTTAAAAGAAAAGGTAATGGACTTACATTTATACAGTCATTCTGTCCAGCTTGCTATACCAGGGCTGGGATTAATTCAAATTGAAGGCAACGCAGCCATTTTTTTCCGCAATATCAAATTATTTCTGGTTAACAATTAAGCACCTTAATGTGATTGTTTTCAATTAAAATGGTAAAAAGGAAACACAAATAGCTTCTTAACAAAGAGCAATTTCTCAAGCAAGAATTTTGCTAGGACTGACTGTCTGGGAGTGGTCTGAGTGGGGAAGGGAAAACTGAAAACTAGCTGTTATTGGCAGAGAGGTTTGGAACCCTCTTTCTTATTGGTCTATTAACTAATGTACCACCATGATGTCATCCCACCAAAACAGACTGACATTTCTGGTGTTCTTTTCAAACAGCTCTTACACTAAAAGGGCATTATCATCATTTTCATAATTTTACAGTGTGGGAATATGCATTGAGTGTACAAAACATTAGGAATACCTGCTCTTTCCATGACATAGACTGACCAGGTGAAAGCTATTATCCCTTATTGATGTCACTTGTTAAATCCACTTCAAATCAGTGTAGATGAAGGGGAGGAGACAGGTTAAAGAAGGATTTCTAAGAATTGAGACACGGATTGTGTATGTGTGCCATTCAGAGTGTGAACAGGCAATACAAAATATTTAAGTGCCTTTGAACGGGGTATGGTAGTAGGTGCAAGATACACCGGTTTGTGTCAAGAACTGCAAAGCTGCTGGGTTTTTCACGCTCAACAGTCCACCCAAAAGACATCCAGCCAACTTGACACAACTGTGGGAAGTATTGGAGTCAACATGGACCAGCATCCCTGGGGAACGCTTTCGACACCTTGTAGAGTCCAATACCCGATGAATTGAGGCTGTTCTGAGGGCAAAATCGGGGGTGCAACTCAATATTAGGAAGGTGTTTCTAATGTTTGGTATACTCAATGTATATGCAAATGAGGCAAACAAAAAAAAACTGATATACTAAGAAAATGTGTGTATATGAGTGCATTAGAAGAAGAAAACATTTGACATTTTACAATACATTTAATACCTGAATTCCTACCAAAATGCCTGAACATTCATTATTTGTCTGTGTCAGTACAATGTTTTATGTGCTATATTTCTGTCAACATCTGATGGATTTTAAAAATTCAAAAAGTTTGGAGTATCTTCATCCAGTATCCAACTGTTGCATTTATCAGAATTGTATTTTAAATCTTTTAACAATTTTTATGACCGTTGCTAAAGTAAAGTGCAGCTTTTAATGATTAGGTTGCAGTTAGCTCTTGCCACAGTGGGGTACGTACCTGTTCCCTCTCCTTGAGTTCAGTGAGCATGACGATAGAGTGACACCTGTACTCCCACACCATCCTCCAGAAGTCCTCCACTGTGTGGGACAGGGGACCCTGGGTAGCGATGAAGTAGTCCTTCTGTCTGTAGCCCTAGAAAAGAACATACTGTTTAGCGCATCATATACTTACATAAAGGGAGAAAGTTAGAACTTAAAAGTATTAAATGTGCTCAGTAAATACTTACATCAATAAATGATGCATTGATGTAGTCCGTGAACTCTTGGCCCCTTTTCATTGATAATATAACCCGGTTGAAGTCATCTGTGTTCAAGCAAATCACTTAACAACTTACTTTATTTCCAACAATAGATCAATTACTTGTGTCATTAGTGTCATTTAACTACAGTAAATTCATACCAAAAGTAAAACTCCATCAGAGATGTAACTTGGCAAAGTTCCTAGGTCTAAGACGTATTCATATCAAGCATCAATACAACACTAAGAGTTTGATGGTGGTAGGTTTGTGATGTATTATTGAACAGTTAAGAGTGTCAGAGTATTCCTTACATGGAATGATCTGAAGCACACGGTTCTTCTTCATGTTTGCAGGAAGGTTTCCAGTCCTCATGTTCTCCTTCATTATGCGTACATTGGTCAGTTTCTGAGGAGAGGATTTTTGAATGTAACTATAACTGTGAGACAACTTAGGAAAGGAGAGAAAATTGTGTGACTGGGACTTACTCTGAACTCTTCCTCTAGGCCCAGCCTGTCCAGGGGTGTTCTGGTGTTGTGGAGTTTCTGCAGGTGGCCTTCCAGAGAGGACACATCCAGCTCTGTGTCCCCATACATATAATACTCCAACAGAGCCTGGTAGATGAACGAGTACTGCATCTAAAAGAGAGACAGAGAGAGAGATGGGGTAAATGCGGCATCTTTGCTTTTTTGTGCTGCAGTAACATATTGAACTGTCAGGGAACACTTACATCGGTCTGGACGAGTTGAGAGCGCTGCTCCCGTATTCTGGTCACAAACCCAAAGACATCCAGCCTCTGCTCTACATGCATCATGTCAATCATGCCGTCTATGACGATGAACGTCCCAGTCCTCCCTACCCCAGCACTGGGGAAAGACAAGGGACAGGAGAGAAGAGTGAGCCTTACATTGTCATAGACCTCTGAGGAAAGTTAGATGATTCAATTCAAATCAAATGCACCGAGTTTGCCACAGGAATGTTGATTGTGATATAGCATAAAACATGCTAAATTGCAACATGTCCACAAGTGATATTCTAAATTGCTACATCTACAAGCAATATTCTAAATTGCTACATGTCCACAAGCCAACAAGATCCATAGTGTTTTAAGGGCCAGTGACACAGACAGCAGTCTGGGATGCCAGCTTAGGGTGTTGGAGACCAATCAATGAGGCCCATTCAGAAAGCAAAGCCCCAATGCCAACACCTGCTTCAACAGTTGTTTCTGCAAGTCTCTGACTTCAGTGGTGTGGTGGTTTCATATTACATGACACACGCATTGAAAGTCCAGCCATACCAATACAAAATAAAAGGAAGAGGGTTGGCATATTTTTCTAGAGACCACGATAGGTAAACTATTTGACACTATGATTGTGTTAAGTTATACATGTCATAAGGTACTAAATTAACTACTATAGCCTTCATTGATCACAGCTTGTAGACATGAATTTCCAGTTAGAATCCCCAGTCTCCTCTCCTGGTTCAGTACCTGCAGTGCACCACGATGGATCCTGCATAGGACGGGTTGACTGTCTTCACCTTCTTGAGGAACTTAAGCATGCCGATAGGGGAGAAGGGCACTCCAAAGTCTGGCCAGCTGGTGAAGTGGAGCTGGGTGACCAAGCGGGGGGCCCTTGGGCCATCACTCCCCTGCTGTTTACAACAACAGGAAAAACATCAATCATTTAGAAAATATACTGTAAATGTCACATGGTTTCTCACATCATGTATTTGAAAGTGAGGGATCCTGTGCAGGGTTGTCATGTAGGCACATACAATGATACTTACATATTGTACACAGAACTTGCGGATGGTGTAGTCCACCAGTACAGTAAAGTCCTCCACTGCCACCCTCACGTTCCCATACATCCAACAGCCCTGGTCTGGCCAGTACTGGTAACACTTGTCCTGAAAAGAGGCAAAATGGACATTCAGCGGAGCAAAAAAAATACAAACTATAGTTCACCAATGTGAATGGCAGAGACTTTTATGGGAATTCATATTACTGACTAGAACCTCTATTTATAGGTGATAGATGTGACATTGGTGATTGTCTGTCAGTCAATAAGTTCATCACTCCAATCTTCTAGACCGTTAATGAGAGTCTCAGACTAATTATAATCAAGCCTTGGACAACTTTATCAACAATGATTTAGTTATTGATCCCCCATCTCTGTTTAGTGCAGCTAAACCCTCTGTTTTGTTCTTTATTGATCAGCCCCTTGAGGTTCAATAAAATGTGATGCCAAGTAATGTGGGGTGACACATTGTATGGATTGGGAAAGTTAGGAAAGGGTCAAATCAATTATATTCATGACCTTGAGGTGTGAGAAGACAAGAAAGACCCTAGCAAAGGCTCTTAAGAACATCTAAGGATGTTGAACGGTCAAATCATTCCACATGAGATCCCATTAGCAAATCTGAAGACATTCTTTACTGGTTGTATAAGTAGATAATGGAGCAGCCAAAGTGAGAGAAGAGAAACTCACCTCTTTTCTCTCTTTCAGGTTAGTGAGCATCACTATAGTAGCAGTCTTCTGTTCCCAAACCATCCGCCAGAAGTCTGCCACAGTGTCATGCATTGGGCCTATGGAAAAGAGAGAGTGACACTTACTACGCAGATGTAAGTGGACATACAGTAGGCCTATGGTGCTAGAAAAACGATATGCTTACATAAAGGAGTTTATTTCAAATCAGTAATCCTCTAGTAGTACAGTATTTTGCACAAAATGGTTGTACAAAGTTATATTCACCTTGAGCTGCAATGAATTTGTTCTTCTCTTTATAACCCTGGTGAAAAAGAAAATGTGTTTTGGCAAGTTTATTAGACCGTAGTGAGAAAGGAAGTTATACTAGATGCATTGAAATAATCCATAATGAGACGCAACAAAATACATAGTAAATATCAACAACTCACATCTATGTATGAGGCATTTATGTAGTCCGTACAAGAATGCCCATCTATTTGAGTTAACAACACTCTGGAATGGTCATCTGTTGAAAATGTAAAAAAGAGACAAAATTGTACTAGGAAAATAAGTATACCTATTTACAATTATTTCATTATGTTATCAAACTGCTTTATCTAAATGAAGTTCAAGCTACTCTTAAAGGGAAAGTCCACCCCATTTCAACCTCCTTTTCATTATCTCCAGCACAATACCAGTGTCTACATATGTGAAAATGGCGCATTTCAACGTTTTGTAGAACAAAATATGAAGTTAAAAGGTTCTACCTGCTGGCTAGAAATTCATTGCACTGTTTTTCTTACTTTTAATCCTACCACGTGATGTCACAGATAATATTTTTTTTGAAGCTTTCTTCTTATCTTTTTAACCACAGATACCATAGAAACGCGCCGCTTTCACATATGTTTTTTAGATAATGAATCGGAAGTTGAAAAGTGGGTTTAATGGTTGCAAAATGTATTCCTTTAACAATTCCATCACTCACATGGTAGGATGTTTGGATATCTGTTCTTGTCCCTGTTGATCTCCCTGCTAGCCTCCTCAAAAGAGCCGTGGTGGTACCCACAGGGCAGTGACTACACAAGCACAGGGGGTCAAACTATGAAGCCATTCATGAAGCCTTCATACATGCAGCATAAAATGTAACAGCATAAAGAAGTATAAACTCTACATTACATTATTAGCGTTTACAAATGAAGGTATCACACTACTACTGTGAGCACTATGTGTTGTATGAAAAGGAGCCTACATTGAACTCCTCTCTGAAAAGCTTGCAGTCGTCTGCCGAGCGTATTCGGAACTCGTCCTCCAGCGAGTCCAGGGGGATGGGGAAGTACCTCTTGGATGGAGAGGGGGATCGTGGGAGGAGGACCACTGTCTGTTCTCCTGTGTGAAACAAAAACATTGGAACGTCAATGTTTTTACATTCAATCCAAGAATTGTGAAATAATTAAATAAAGTTCTGCCTCTTTCTTTTTAGAGACAGAACCAGATCACCTCGTCACACGCAGGTGACTACTGTAAGTCGCTCTGGATAAGAGCATCTGCTAAATGACTAAAATATACAAAATGATGAGGTGACAATAAGGAGGGTGACCTCATACAAGAGATGTATATAAACAACTCTGGGGTCTTCAACTCTTCACTCAAACTTCACTTACTCAACATTTTACTTTACATGTGAAAGTTACATGAATTACAAGGTTAGAAAGTTACAAGGAATTCTGCTTTAACTGTGGCAATGTAGACTGTGAACCTTATTATTACACTGCTCCAAAAAATGAAGGGAACACTAAAATAACACATCCTAGATCTGAATGAATGAAATAATCTTATTAAATACTTTTTTCTTTACATAGTTGAATGTGCTGACAACAAAATCACACAAAAATTATCAATGGAAATCAAATGTATCAACCCACGGAGGTCTGGATTTGGAGTCACCCTCAAAATTAAAGTGGAAAACCACACTACAGGCTGATCCAACTTTGATGTAATGTCCTTAAAACAAGTCAAAATGAGGCTCAGTAGTGTGTGTGGCCTCCACGTGCCTGTATGACCTCCCTACAACGCCTGGGCATGCTCCTGATGAGGTGGCGGATGGTCTCCTGAGGGATCTCCTCCCAGACCTGGACTAAAGCATCCGCCAACTCCTGGACAGTCTGTGGTGCAATGTGGCGTTGGTGGATGGAGCGAGACATGATGTCCCAGATGTGCTCAATTGGATTCAGGTCTGGGGAACGGGCGGTCCATAGCATCAATGCCTTCCTCTTGCAGGAACTGCTGACACACTCCAGCCACATGAGGTCTAGCATTGTCTTGCATTAGGAGGAACCCAGGGCCAACCGCACCAGCATATGGTCTCACAAGGGGTCTGAGGATCTCATCTCGGTACCTAATGGCAGTCAGGCTACCTCTGGCGAGCACATGGAGGGCTGTGCTGCCCCCCAAAGAAATGCCACCCCACACCATGACTGACCCACCGCCAAACCGGTCATGCTGGAGGATGTTGCAGGCAGCAGAACGTTCTCCACGGCGTCTCCAGACTCTGTCACTTCTGTCACATGTGCTCAGTGTGAACCTGCTTTCATCTGTGAAGAGCACAGGGCGCCAGTGGCGAATTTGCCAATCTTGGTGTTCTCTGGCAAATGCCAAACGTCCTGCACGGTGTTGGGGTGTAAGCACAACCCCCACCTGTGGACGTCGGGCCCTCGTACCACCCTCATGGAGCCTGTTTCTGACCATTTGAGCAGACACATGCACATTTGTGGCCTGCTGGAGGTCATTTTGCAGGGCTCTGGCAGTGCTCCTCCTGCTCCTCCTTGCACAAAGGCGGAGGTAGCGGTCCTGCTGCTGGGTTGTTGCCCTCCTACGGCCTCCTCCACATCTCCTGATGTACTGGCCTGTCTCCTGGTAGCGCCTCCATGCTCTGGACACTACGCTGACAGACACAGCAAACCTTCTTGCCACAGCTCGCATTGATGTGCCATCCTGGATGAGCTGCACTACCTGAGCCACTTGTGTGGGTTGTAGACTCCGTCTCATGCTACCACTAGAGTGAAAGCACCGCCAGCATTCAAAAGTGACCAAAACATCAGCCAGGAAGCATAGGAACTGAGAAGTGGTCTGTGGTCACCACCTGCAGAACCACTCCTTTATTGGGGGTGTCTTGCTAATTGCCTATAATTTCCACCTGTTGTCTATTCCATTTGCACAACAGCATGTGACATTTATTGTCAATCAGTGTTGCTTCCTAAGTGGACAGTTTGATTTCACAGAAGTGTGATTGACTTTGAGTTATATTGTGTTGTTTAAGTGTTCCCTTAATTTTTTTGAGCAGTGTATTTAGACTTGTTGGTTCATATCTTGACAGCTCTCAATACCAGCATACGCCAACAGTAATATATCTCTACAAAATAGACTTGACTTTCTGTTTTGATTGTGATGACTTATCAAGAGCACAGATTCAATCAGTAAGGAAATTCAAGAAGGACTATTGTACACACACAACTTAAGGCTTGCATCACATCCCACAACACATACTCAATGGTTCAAATGAAATATTGTATACATAAGATGTACGTGGAAAAGTGCAACATAATGAAGTTGAGACATACCTTGATCTTCCAAGAATCCATTTGGATTCTTCTGAGAGACAAGAGCCTTCCTGTGGTTTCTAAACCTAACCAGAGGGTGAGAGACGGAAGGAAACGAAACAAAACACGTTATCCAACCATAACCTCAGAAAAATAATATTACAGCTCAACAAGTCAGTAGAAATAGAAACCCACCATCTGAACTGAAAGCTGTTCTTTCTCATGAGAAGCAGATAGTATCCTCACCACTGAGAGAGGAGTTAACAGAATGAGTGAGTGAATGGGTGAGAGCATGGTCTGATATGACCCAGCTAGCCATTTGTTTTCTGTTTTACTAGTAAAGCAGCTGTTGGAACACACACACACACACACACACACACACACACATACAGAGTGGGGGTAGGCTGGGCTGATGATATAAGAAAACGGTGGGGGTGGGGTGAAGCCATCCAGTGTTTTTTGTTACCTTAGGAAGTATACTGTCAGGAGAACGATGAAGATGAGAAGAAGAGAGATCAGCGTAGAGGGAAGAACATGGGCACCCTGGGAGGTGGGGTTTTCTGGGAAACAAAGATACACACATTATTTTGTATACTACATATACAACAAGTGTTGTCAATATTTACATAGCCACATGTAACCATTTTAATAGATAATTGAGCTATTGGTCTACCAATTGTTTAAAGCTATGATCAAGTTAATTTATGCTGATTGTTCTGTTTAATTCACTATTCGTACGGAAGTCAGTTACCTGAAGTCTGGTTCTCATGAGAGGAGTTAGTCAAGGTTATTGTAGTTGCAATCAGAAACAACACCATTGTGACTGTGGAGATAAACAGAACATGAGTGAATACATAATACTAAAATAAAATACATAAGCTGTGATGCTTCATAGATTCCACTAGAGGGAACCCACGATACAAGCAAATCCTGGCCTGGTATTGACACATTGTTGTCTGTCAAAATAATGGAATGATGTCAGGCCCTCTGACTGTATGATTGTGTAACTCCTTGTATACTATCTGTGTCTTGTCCTGTCCACTTAGCAGTATGGTGCATCTCCTCTGACCTCACATCCCTAAAATACACATATCAATGTAACAGGAAGCACTATCTCAGAGACGGCAGAAATCAGATCCCCTGTAGTCCTAGACAGACTGGAGCAAAGCTAAACATAATCTCAAGGGATGTGCATCTCACATTGCAGTCTCACACAGAGATACATAGCAATGAGAAATGCTTGGATAGGGTGAGTGAGAAACAGTGAAAACAGAGAGAAACATTTATTTAATGTTTCCAGAACGATCCCTCTGAAGGAAGAGGAATGAGGAAACTCCTGGTCACATTGAGTAGCACTGTGTAGCCTGAAGCCATTACAAGGATCCATAGGCACTTTAACTGAAAATGGAGAGTTTGATATATGAAACACGTGGGGCTGAGGAAAAAAAAGGATCACACATGTCAATAGATAGAAGCCGAGAGGACAAGGCCATCTGTTTTGAGTCATATTGAGCCAAGAATCTTCACTCTTTCTTAATACATTGATTTCTCTATTTCATCACTATTACCTGCAATGCATCTCTATCACAAACAATGCATTTCTACAGTGGCTTGCGAAAGCTTTACAACCTGGAATTTTTTTGGGTGGAACAAACAAGTAGTAAGACAAAAAAACAGAAAACCTGAGCTTGCATAACTATTCACCCCCCCAAAGTCAATACTTTGTAGAGCCACCTTTTGCAGCAATTACAGCCGCAAGTCTCTTGGGATATGTCTCTATAAGCTTGGCACATCTAGCCACTGGGATTTTTGCCCATTCTTCAAGGCAAAACTGCTCCAGCTCCTTCAAGTTGGATGGGTTCCGCAGGTTCCAGCAGGTTTCCCTCAAGAATGTCCCTGTATTTAGCGCCATCTATCATTCCTTCAATTCTGACCAGTTTCCCAGTCCCTGCTGATGAAAAACATCCCCACACATTGATGCTGCCACCACCATGCTTCACTGTGGGGATGGTGTTCTCGGGGTGATGAGAGGTGTTGGGTTTGCGCCAGACATAGGGTTTTCCTTGATGGCCAAAAAGCTCAATTTTAGTCTCATCTAACCAGAGTACCTTCTTCCATATGTTTGGGGAGTCTCCCACATGCCTTTTGGCGAACACCAAACGTGTTTGCTGATTTTTTTCTTTAAGCAATGGCTTTTTTCTGGCCACTCTTCTGTAAAGCCCAGCTCTGTGGAGTGTACGGCTTAAAGTGGTCCTATGGACAGATACTCCAATCTCCGCTGTGGAGCTTTGCAGCTCCTTCAGGGTTATCTTTGGTCTCTTTGTTGCCTCTCTGATTAATGCCCTCCTTGCCTGGTCCGTGAGTTTTGGTGGGCGGTCCTCTCTTGGCAGGTTTGTTGTGGTGCCATATTCTTTCCATTTTTTAATAATGGATTTAAATGGTGCTCCGTGGGGTGTTCAAAGTTTCAGTTTTTATAACCCAACCCTGATCTGTACTTCTCCACAACTTTGTCCCTGACCTGTTTGGAGAGCTCCTTGGTCTTCATGAAAAAAAAAAAAAAAACATATTGTAAAGTGGTTATCCCACTGGCTATAAGGTGAATGCACCAATTTGTAAGTCGCTCTTGATAAGAGCGTCTGCTAAATGACGTAAATGTAAAATGTAAATGTGCCGCTTGCTTGGTGGTGCCCCTTGCTTAGTGGTGTTGCGGACTCTGGGGCCTTTCAGAACAGGTGTATATATACTGAGATCATGTGACAGATCATGTGCGCTTAGATTACACACAGGTGGACTTTATTTAACTAATTATGTGACTTCTGAAGGTAATTGGTTGCACCAGATCTTATTTAGGGGCTTCATAGCAAAGGGGGTGAATACATATGCACGCACCACTTTTCCGTAATTTATTTTTTAGAATTTTTTTAAACTGGTAATTTTTTTCCTTTCACTTCACCAATTTGGACTATTCTGTGTATGTCCATTACATGAAATCCAAATAAAAATCCATTTAAATTACAGGTTGTAATGCAACAAAATAGGAAAAATGCCAAGGAGGATGAATACTTTTGCAAGGCACTGTACCTCTCTGGAGCCTATGTCCTGCTGGCAGTCTGTCTACAATTCCCTCACTCCTAAATGGGAGCGCAATAAGTCCAAAACGAACTGGACAAATCTATTTAAATGCAATGTATTAAATACGAGAACAGTTATTGCCCAGTGTTTTATCCATACGCAGACTTGAGAGCATCACTTTATTCTCCGTTACATGTCTCTTTAGCCTTAGAAAAAGCTGTTTGGCATTGACATAATCATTCATACTGCAAATCTAGTAGCTTCACTAGAAGTGGGTCATCCTGAAAGACCTAATTCATGACTTTTTGGAAACACATATGCCTCTCTCGCTCTCACACACACATCCCACACACATATGTTCAAAGCTCAAAGCCAAGGGGCATGTACTGCATATGTGCCACACTGTGTTGAAGGTGCCCAATCTCTCCTCAGTGTTAACAAGCTGACAGTGTCAACACCTGCTCCCTGCAGAACTCCACTGGGCAAAAACACATTCAGTCACAGTGTTGGCATTCCACCATACTGGGCTAAACACAACATTTGCAAGAGTGCATGTTTGATTGAATTCTGTTATGAAACAGGTTTGGGCTATGTCTGGATGACTGGGAAAGGAGGGCAAAGCATGTGTCTGAGCTACTTCATTTAAATCATTCAACTCAGCAGTCCTTTTTATTTTATTTTTATTTAACCTTTATTTAACCAGGTAAGCCAGTTGAGAACAAGTTCTCATTTACAACTGCGACCTGGCCAAGATAAAGCAAAGCAGTGCGATAAAAACAATAACAACACAGAGTTACACATGGGATAAAACAAAACATACAGTCAATAACACAATAGAAGATTTATATACAGTGTGTGCAAATGTAGTAAGTTATGGAGGTAAGGCAATAAATAGGCCATAGTGCAAAATAATTACAATTTAGTATTAACACTGGAGTGATAGATGTGCAGTAGAAGATGTGCAAATAGAGATACTGGGGTGCAAATTAGCAAAATAAATAACAATATGGGGATGAGGTAGTTGGGTGGGCTAATTACAGATGGGCTGTGTGCAGGTGCAGTGATCGGTAAGGTGCTCTGACAACTGATGCTTAAAGTTAGTGAGGGAGATAAGAGTCTCCAGCTTCAGAGATTTTTGCAGTTCGTTCCAGTCATTAGCAGCAGAGAACTGGAAGGAATGGCGGCCAAAGGAGGTGTTGGCTTTGGGGATGACCAGTGAGATATACCTGCTGGAGCGCAGACTACGGGTGGTTGTTGCTATGGTGACCAATGAGCTAAGATAAGGCGGGGATTTGCCTAGCAGTGATTTATAGATGACCTGGAGCCAGTGGGTTTGGCGACGAATATGTAGTGAGGGCCAGCCAACGAGAGCATACAGGTCACAATGGTAGGTAGTATATGGGGCTTTGGTGACAAAACGGATGGCACTGTGATATACTACATCCAATTTGCTCAGTAGAGTGTTGGAGGCTATCCTTCTCAGTGCTATCAAAAGCATGTTAAGAGTAGGACCCAGAACTACAATGTAATTATTCTTGCTGATTATAAAACCTCCCAAAGTGAATTCAATGAGACTGCCTCAATGGTATTTAGCGTGCTGCAGTAGCAATTCTAAAGCATTGCAAGATATGTTATTACCATAATGCAAAATGCATGTATCTAACAAGGATTTCTCCATGAAGGTAATGTTATTAATACATAATATAATTAATTAAATATTAATAGATATACAGTATATCTACAACAAAACCAAAAAGCGAAAGTAGCAAAACTCAATATCATAAAGTAACTAAATAAATGAATGGTATTCATAAGAAAGATACAGGATGTGGAGAAACTGATGACAGCTGTAACCCAAAAAGGAACAGCTCGGTCTCACCTCAACTCTCACACACAAACATAAGTGAGCATGACAGACCCTGAGAAAATTGCTTGCCATTAAAAATAGCATGCTCATACAAATGTATCTTTCCCTACAGAAGACTTGTAGCCTTTAAATGTATTTTTATTATTAATTCAAGCAGAGATGTGCAGTTATAAAATCCATTCCAACTGGATACATACTGTACAGGACCTTTCAGATTTGAGAGGTTTTTCCTTCATGTGCATTAGAGCCAATGAACAAGAAGGGTGATTCCACACCAGGAAGGCCCAATTTTGGGGGGGTTATCTCAGATTGTTATGGCAATTCTCACATAGAAACTTCATTGGGAGGAAGGATTTGTTTGATATACTTTTTACATTTGTATCACAAACCAATTCCGAGAACATCATGATGAAAGCGGCCATTTTTAGACCTATACACATGCCTCTGTAAGACCCTATGATCTGTGAACCGTACTTGATACAGTCAACATCATTGTGTCATTATACTCCATATAGTGGGCTGAAAAATGTGGAGTATGTCTGGATTCTGAAATAAAAATATTAACATTCATTTATTCAACATTAAACATTTTATAGACATTGTTTTAAACAATATACTCTACAAGAACATAACATTTCCAGAGTGGGTGCAATGCAAATTTTGCAGTTATGATAAATGTTATGAGCACCACCAAGACAGTGAATGGGAAAATGGATTCAAAGGGTAACTTCGCTGAATGTGATTGGCTAATGACCTATAATGTCAATTTCTATGTAGAAAATGTAGAAAAAAATATACACTACCAGTCAAAAGTTTGGACAAACCTACTCATTCAAGGGTTTGTCTTTATAATAATAGTGAATAATAGTGAACACTTTTAGTGAATAATAGTGAACACATCAAAACTATGAAATAACACATATGGAATCATGTAGTAACCAAAAAAGTGTTAAACAAATCAAAATATATTTTATATTTGAGATTCTTCAAATAAACACCCTTTGCCTTGATGACAGCTAAAATGTAATGACAGCTTTGCACACTTTTGGCATTCTCTCAACCAGCTTCATGAGGTAGTCATCTGGAATGCATTA